CCTGGGCTCAAGCGAGTCTCCTGCCTCAGCCTCCCAAGTAGCTGGGACCACAGGCGCCCGCCACAATGCCCCGCTATTTTTTGGTTGCAGCTGTCATTGTTGTTTGGCGGGGGCCTGGGCTGGATTCGAACCTGCCACCTTAGGTGTATGTGGCTGGCACCTTAGCCACTTGAGCCACAGGTGCCGAGCCTTGGGATACTTTTCTTAAGAGAATGTTCTCTAAATCCATCAAGGATGTTACAAAGATAACAAATCTCCGTCTCTCTTATGGCTGAAGGATATTCCCTGGTATACACACACCATAGTTTATTAATCCACTCATGTGCTGAAGGGCACCTGTGTTGTTTCCACGTCTTTGCAATTGTGACTAATGCTCTGTGGACATTCAAGTGCAAATGTCCTTATGGTAAAATTGCTTTTTTTGTTTGGGGTAAATATCTAATAATGGGATTTCAGGATCAAATGCAACTTCTACTTTTAGTTCTTGGAGGAATCTCCCTAATCCTTTCCACAGAGGCTATGCTAGTTTGCAGTCCCACCAGCAGTGCAGGAGTGTTCCCAGCTCTCTGTACCCACGCCACCGTCTGTTGCTTTGATTTTGTGATGTGGGCCATTCTCTGGGAGTCTAGGTGATGTCTCAAAATGGCTTCGATTTGCATTTCTCTGATGATTAGGGGTGATGAGCATCTCTTCATGCATGTGTTGGCCATCACCTATCCTCATGAGAAAAGTTTATATTCATGTGCTTTACCTAGTTTTTAATGGGGTTAACTAATCTTTTCTTCTTGATCTGCTTGAGTTCTTTGTAACTCTGGTTATTAGCCCTTTCTGGGATTCAGAGCATGCAAATAGCTCCTTCCATTCTGCAGGTCATCTCTTTGCGTTGTTGATATTGTGTTTAACTGTTAAGAAGCTTTGTAACTTGATCAGGTCCTTTTTTTTTTTTTTTTTTGCAGTTTTTGGCCAGGGCCAGGTTTGAACCTTTGAACGTGCCACCTCCAGTATATGAGGCCGCTGCACTATTCCTTGAGCCACAGGTGCTGCCCAGGTCCCATTTATTTTATTTTTCTTGTGGCTGAGATTGCCATCCATTTTTTTCTTAGGCCAAGAAGATTAAGAGTTTTCTCCCACTTTCATCCATGGTTTTAATACTTTCATGCCTTAGCTTAAAATCTATCCATAGTGAGTTAATTTTTGTAAGTGGTGACAGATGCAGGACCAGTTGCAGTCCTTACACTTGACTCTCCAGTTCTCACAGCACCATTTATTGGACAGGGTTTCCTTCCCCCCGCGTATGATTTTTTTGCTTTGTTAGAGATCAGATGGTGACGTGAGGTGGTTTCCTCTCTAGGTCATGGAGTTCCCATTCCCACACACTCAGAACACCTGAAGCCATCGTGCAGACAGGGCCGGCACCTTATTTCTCCTGTGGGGTAACGTGTGGCTTGGGAGCAGCAAGAGGGGACACAGTAGCAAACCACAGAGTTCAGCCAAAGTTTTGCTTCTGCAAATTACATTGAGTGGGGAGTCACTCTCCCTGTGTGCTTATCAAGTCATCTTGGACAGGTGGGAATAAATCATTGCTGGATGAATTGCTTCTGAAGGGATGGGAGATTTCATGTTTCTCTGGTTTGTAGGAAAGAAAAGCTTTGTTAGTGATGCATTGGGGGGCTTTTAATATGTTCTGTGAACCCCCCAGGTGGTAATTCTGTACATAATAGCAAATAAAATTATTGACCTTGGGGATTTAGTCTGTGTTACTATTAAATCACTTTCATGCTATTGCTTTAGGGAGGGTCCAGAAGTCCTTTCCTGAGTTTTTGATAGATCCCTTTCCCGCAATCATACTGTATTTTCCTTTAAAATTATTGCCTATATTGCTAGTGCTGGGAAATATTATATATGAGTAAAAGCTTCCCAGTTTCCCATAGCCAACTTTTCTTTCTGTTGGAATAGTCTGCTGTGGTAAGCAGTAAGAAGCAATGTGGTCAATTGAGAACACAAACTAAAGTCACCCCAATCCATCCTGTTTGTTAGTTCAAGGTGTAGGTGGAAAGAACGGAAGGTCTCTATTCCTTTTCCCACAAAGCAATGTGCCACGTCCTGTGGACCTTGCTCAGAAACTATCTAGAGAACAGAGGCTGCTTCAGCATTTGTTGGCATGAGCGAGGGTCGGTCTCCTTTTGTCTAGTCTGGAAATGCTGCAGTGGGTCTGCACAGAACATTAAATTCAGAAGGCTGTGAAGTGTGAGTTCCTTTCCCTAATCTACCACTGGTTTTCACCTCCATCGTTCTCTGACACAGAACATCTGTTCAGGAGCTGGTTGGTCCCCACTTCACCCCGCAATGGTCTCTCCAGTGGGAGAACAGCAGACCTGCCTCTGTACCAGCCCAAAAGAATCCCCGAGAATTTTCTTTTAGCAGGTGCTCCCCAAGCTGCCATTAGTGTGATAACGAAGTAGAGAAAGAGAAAGGCAAAGGGAGGGTGCCACAAACCCTAACTGCTTCCTGAGCCCCCAAACTTAATTAGTCAGTGTTGCAACTGATACTGAAGTCCACGGTTTTCATGAGACAGATGTGTTATTTAGCGTAATTTGCAGAGGGTTTCACAACTAAAGGTTTCACACCACAGTGAAGAATAATTCTCACATAATGAAAAACATTAAAACACCCAAATAATCAGTGTTAAAGCCACCATTTCTGTCACTAAAAATTGTCAAAAACAAATAAAAATATCAAGAGCTTCCTCTAGAATTCCACTTTATTCCATTTTTTTGTTAAAGGTAACTTCCACATCCTGACTGGAATCAGAATTCCTAGAAACGCAGCCTGGATACAGACAACACGAAAGACAGACTCTGACTAATCCCATCCTGATGAGCGGAGGGCCATAAGGCAAGCCCTGTCTGTCTGTGAGGGAGCAAGGACAGATGCACCTGCTGTACCAGGGGGACAGGCCAGGTGCACGCTGGGTCCTCATAGAGCTCATGATAGGAAGGTAATGCCCTGGACTGCTAAAGTGCTAATGACCCTCACACAGGACACCGCAGGACATGCACGTACCTGCAGTTGCATCTACACCTGACTGGCACCTGCATGACAGACAGATGTGGCCTCCAGGCTCACGTGACCTGTGATCTGTCTCTACGACAGCATCTACTACATCTCCCCAGAATTTATTAGATCTTCTGCTTTTATTTTTATAAAATGGTGTGTATGAGCCCTTTTTAAAATACATATATTGCAAATATCTTTTCACAGTTTGTGACGTGTATAGACACTCTAATAATGTCTTTATTGCTGTTTCATCCTGTAGGGATAGTTTTTCATCTGTGTTTGTTCTCTTTGAAGAAATCTTTACTATGTGGCACCTGTGGCTCAGAGGAGTGGGGCGCTGGCCCCATATACCAGAGCAAGACAGAGCAAGACATTTA